ATCCTTCTGTGGGATAATTTCCCCAAGCTCGGCTTTAAATCAAGTGGACTAAACTGTTATATTCTAGCTCTGATTGCCGAGTACTGTAGTTTGATTTGACTAAGCCTTGAGATGGGCATTGTCATAATAAATTTTAATGCAATAATAATCATGACTGGACTGAATCTATAGGATTCATGATGACTTAAAAAGTCTTCTATGAAGATAGATAAGAATATAACATAAGCGTGGTGCTCCAACAGAGAGTTGGGATGCACTAAAGTACAGACAGGGCAGATACCCACAAATATGTATTCCTGATAATATTAAGGTACAGGTTAACTTCCAGCTGAGATAATCATGTGGTTTCCTGCAACAAATCATAAACTGACTGTCTACAAGTTCGTTACAGCGTGCTGGCTAACAGTACCACAGCAATATAAGTAAGTAGTAGTCCCCCAGGCTAAGTGCTGACTTGGGGCAATATTTCACTCTTCTCGCTGAGCACAATAAGCTCTCAAGGATGAGCATTGTCCAAAAACATCAGCTTAACAGTACCATATTAATAAAAGTTAGTAGAAGTCCTCAACCTCACAATTATTAACAATACTACTGTGTTAACATCTTTACTGGCGTGCAAGTACGAGTACAAGTACAAGTACGATTAATTAGTTATTTAATCAATAGAAGTTAGTAATATAGTCCCCCAGGCTAAGTGCTGACTTGGGAGAATATTTAACCTTACTCAACCCCACAATAAGCTCTCAAGGATGAGCATTGTCCAAAAAGATCAGCCCTGTCATTCTTGTGACCGTTAGCATAGCACATCTTCTCCTCGATAGCACCTGATTTAAAGATAAGTTAGGAAAGTCGAACGAGTGCGCTTCTAAATTTCAGATTACTACACAAATTAATTTGCAAGAATCTGATTGATTTGACTTCTGAAAATAAAGAAATATTAAATAAGTATGCATTGGAGTTTTGAAACATACAAATGATACGATACGTATAGCTTTATAGTTTAAGATGACAGAATTGCTTTAAAAAAATGTGTTAACCGTCTTCAATGTTGGTTTAATTTGATGAGAAACAATTACACAGCTACACTACAATACCATAGAAATTATTTGTTTATCATCCTTTCAAAAGTACTTTACTTGGTAGCAAGGCTTTATGATAGTTCATCTGTTTTCCAAAACATTGTAAAATAAATATATATACTTGTTTTTAATATAAACACTCATTTTTCCGTATAGCCTACATCCTTCTGTGAGATAATTTCCCGAAGCTCGACCTTAATTTGAGTGGACTGTTATATTCTAGCTCTGATTGCTGAGTACCGTAGTTTGATTTGACTAAGCCTCGAGATGACATTGGGACTGATTAATGTGATCATTGTCATAATACATTTTAATGCAACAAGAATTGTGACCAGACTGAATCTATAGGATTTATGATGACTTAAAGATTCTTCTATGAAGAAAGATAAGACTATAGCATAAGCGTGATGCTCCAACAAAGAGTTAGGATGCACTAAAGTACAGACAGGGCAGATACCCACAAATTTGTATTCCTGATAATCTTAAATTACAGGTTAACTTCCAACTCAGATAATCATGTGGTTTCCTGCAACAAATCACAAACTGACTGTCTACAAGATCGTTACAGCGTACTGGCTACCAGGTACCACAGCAATGGAAGTTTGTAGTGGTCCCAAGCTCGGCCTTAATTTGAGTGGACTGTTATATTCTAGCTCTGATTGCTGAGTACTGCAGTTTGATTTGACCAAGCCCTGAGATGGCATTGAGACTGATTAATGTGATCATTGTCATAATAAATTTTAATGCAACAAGAATTGTGACCGGACTGAATCTATAGGATTTCTGATGACTTAAAGATTCTTCTATGAAGAAAGATAAGACTATAGCATAAGCGTGGTGCTCTAACAGAGAGTTAGGATGCACTAAAGTACAGACAGGGCAGATACCCACAAATATGTATTCCTGATAATATTAAGGTACAGGTTAACTTCCAGCTGAGATAATCATGTGGTTTCCTGCAACAAATCACAAACTGACTGTCTACAAGTTTGTTACAGCGTACTGGCTAACAGGTACCACAGCAATAGAAGTTATTAGTGGTCCCCGCAAGTGGAGCACAATTAGCTCTCAAGGATGAGCATTGTTCAAAAATATCAGCCCTGTCATTCTTGTGACCGTCAGCATAGCACATCTTCTCTTCTGTAGCACCTGATTTAAAGATAAGGTTGGAAAATCGGACGCGGACGAGTGCACTTCTCAATTTCAGATTACTACTCAGATTAATTTGCAAGAATCTGATTGATTTGACTTCTGAAAATAAAGAAATATTGGAGTCTGCATTGGAGTTTTGAAACATACAAATGATACGATACTTATAATTTAAGATGACAGAATTGCTTTTAAAAATGTGTTAACCGTTTTCAGCTAGGGGTGATGGGGTGTTGAGGTGATTATATTTGATGGAGTGGTGTTAATGTTGGTTTAATTTAATGAGAAACAATTACACATGTTACACTACAATACCATAGAAATTATTTGTTTGTCATCCTTTAATAAGTACTTTACTTGGTACTTGGTAGCAAGGCTTTATGATAGTTCATTTGGTTTCCAAAACCTTGTAACATATGGTGTAGCTCGTTGGGATAGTATAGGAATTCTAGCTCCTATAGTTGGGAATGAGGTAGTTGTCTGTTCACAGATCGCCCTCTAAACTTACAAGGAAATATTTCCTGTAGATCCTTGGTATATAAGCAACATTTGACAGAGCCATAGTGTGGAGTGAGCTATGTGCCCATCCTTGGAGAACCCGGTGGATGTCCTTGCTGTGCAGCAGTGTTAAACAAGGAACTGAAACCGAGGGGTCCCATTCAGGCCCTTCACACTTTGTTTCTGTCTAATTCTAATGTACCGTCACAATAGTGACTTTAAATATACTTGTTTTTAATATAAACGCCCATTTTTGCGCAGAATAGCCAACATCCTTCAGTAAAATAATTTCCCCAAGCTCGTCCTTAATTTGAGTGGACTGTTATATTCTAGCTCTGATTGCTGACTGCTGAGTACTGTAGCTCGATTTGACTAAGCCTTGAGATGGCCGGTATGAATCTATAGGATTTCTGATGACTTAAAGATTCTTCTATGAAGAAAGATAAGACTATAACATAAGCGTGGTGTTCTAACAGAGAGTTAGTATGCACTAAAGTACAGACAGGGCAGATACCCACAAATATGTATTCCTGATAATATTAAGGTACAGGTTAACTTCCAGCTGAGATAACCATGTGGTTTCCTGCAACAAATCACAAACTGACTGTCTACAAGTTCGTTACAGCGTACTGGCTAACAGGTACCACAGCAATAGAAGTTAGTAGTAGTCCCCCAGGCTAAGTGCTGACTTGGGGGGATATTTCACCTTTCTCAACCCCACAATTATTAACAATATACTGTGTTACCATCTTTACTGGCGTGTGGTGATTTTGGGGGAGTGTACAAGTACAAGTACGATTAATTATGAGATTTGCTGCAAGTCTAACAAACCGACAAACAAAAACCACAACTTCTCCTTAATTGCATATCGAGGGCTACAGCTAATATCACCCTTGTCAAAACGGAGTTCATTTTAAGAAGGTAAATTTTGTGATCACAATTTCTGATCGAGAGGGAAATAATATGTGACGTGGTAATTTGAGCTAACGAGAATGTTATTTGCTATTGCCGCCGACTCAGTAGATCTACTTTTTACTTTAGTCTTGTGTAAGTTATTTTAAATTTGAAGCTCGAAATTATTATAATTTAGATGGTCGTAGTACATACTGATGCAGTACAGCAATCCGTTGTCAATGATTATAATTAATAACAACGATTTCGTTGCTGTAATCGTTTTAAAGATCATTTAATCGGGTGCAAATCCTAAATAGTCATGCGCATGTTATATAAAATTGTAGTAAGTTTCGAACTCAGTAAAAATATCCATATTGCAAAAGATTCCTTGATTGTCATCGACTCTGTCAAATTCATGATCATGGCACTCTTTTACAAAATAACAAATTATGAGTTTAGACGTCTCACAAATTTAAAATTTTGTTGTTTATACTAAACAGTATAAATTATTCAATCTATAGACTTGAATAATTTATAAAATATATGTTTAACGTGTCAGGAATCACGGACCAGTGCCGGAACAAGAGACCTTAGTATCATATTTTATGTCTATAACTTATCACGATATAATACAGCTGATCAATTAAAAAAAGAATAATCTGGGAGGTGCCCGAAATCACGCAACGTCCACGCGTTACTCCCAACTCCTAACTTTCACGCGTTACTCTCAACTCCTAACTTCCTAAGACTGTGACTCCATTACTTAAAAGGTCTGACTAGCTGTCCAGATCAGTCCAGTAATATTTAGCTTAGTTAGACATCCCAACCGAGTCACTATGTTACGTTTTATCCTCTCTGTCTTATTGGTATTTGTTGCCTGTCCAGGGTTTACTATCGCAGCCAGCGACACCAAGAGCGATACAGCCCTTAAGTTTGCTTACGATAGAAATGCTTACATATCTTACAGTCCCAACGTTAACTCACTGACAGAAAAGTTTTCTGTTTGTGTGTGGGTGCGTAAGGTCCAATCTGGAAATAATCCTGTAGCTTTCGCGTATAACGGTTGGGAACTAGCGTTGGGAGACAGTGGCTACTACAACTATCTGTTCAGTTCCCACAATAATCTGGCCGGCAAGTTCCCCACTGACAATACTTGGTATTTCTACTGCTCAACCTGGAGCCTTGCTTCTAGAACCTTCCGAGTGTACGTGAACGGGCAACAAGTAGGGACCCAGACAACACCATCCGGGAGAAGGCTGCGGACAGGAGGAGAATTAACCTTGGGGAATTATTCACCAGGCAACTCGCACCCTTTCGGAGGCATGCTTTTTAATTTTAATATATACTCTAAAGAAATGACGGCTACAGAAGTATAGCTGCCCTGTCTTCAGCTGGATTTTGTGCAGAGATTCCTGAGCAGTTGGAGGAGTACCGGGTAATAAAGTGGGGAGATATTCTCAAACTAAGTAGATCTGGTACTGTGTTGGACGAAGACACCAGATGTGCTGCATTTGTTCAACTACCGATAACTCGAAAAAAGCTGGAATTGGCCGTGGCAGAAAAGAGTTCTCTGGAACTATCCTTGAACAAAACGAGGATAGATCTACTCAAAGTTCAAGAACGCTTCAACTCTACCCAGGAGGAACTAGTTGAGGTACAAGAACGCTTCAACTCTACCCAGGAGGAGTTAGTTGGGGTCAGGAGGGAACTTGGAGCAACAGAAGGGGAGTTGAATGAAACGAGGAGCGACCTTCAAGAAACAAAGTTGGAACTTAGGAATCTCACGGAGTCTAAATGTGCGCTAAAGAAAGGGAATTTGACAAAGTGGGATATGTTCTATTCGCCCGAGTACTATAATAAAACCTTCACTCGCACTCTCTACCAACAACTCACCTCGACATGGGATTCAATTAGCAGTAAGATGCAATTAATATTCACATAAATTAGTCAACGTTTTTTCATATTTTGTTGCAATTGAAATGAAATTCTTATTAAGAAAATTAATTTTGCATGCTTGATACTAATTAACCAGTAAAATATATATTTGTCAATTTCGTTTGATAAAACTTTATTATTACAGTTAACGAGTACAATTAGTAGCACAACTAGAGCACAATTAGAGCACAATTAGAGCACAATTAGTAATTAAAATTTACAACCACACAATACGACATATGTATGTTCGATACCATAAAAGTCTTGCAATTTCATTAACTCGATCAAAATATCAACAACAATATTTTAAACGAATTGATACCAGATCGACATATTGTTAATAAACGAGTTTTAACTTCTCCTCTTATTCAGATCGATTGTTTGGGATGACGATTACTGACAAGGTAATCGAGCTGATAAAAGATCTGGACGATGATCAGATCGATCACTGCGGAGAATTATCATAAAGCCTTGCTACCAAAATTATGTAAGTTACTTACCACACTTAATTATTAAATATTGTTTCATTTTCCAATGTCAAATCATGCAGATTCAGTAGCTACCTTAAATTGAAATATGTCGGTCGACTTTTGTAACTTATTTTCAAATCAGGTGTTACCGGAGAGAGGATGCACCATGCTGACGCGTCACGAGAATGACAGCTGTATACTGACGCTGATATTTTTGGACGATGTTTACCCTTGAGAACGAGACGAAGCGAAAACATCCCGACCTTCCAATGCTGATCACGATCTACTTCAACAACGGAGATAATTATACGGATACCTTTAAGTTATGGACATGAATTGCAAGTAAATTGGAAGCACACTGGACTCAGTTAAAATGATCAATCTTAATTTTAAACAGTTAAACTTGGTTGTTGATTCCAAGTATAATTTGAAACATTTGATACTACCTACAGTATCTAAGAAGTAGTATGTAGTATTCGTTGGTAGACGATGATTTGAAGGACGTGAGGAAATTACGTTCATTTGTACTCAGTTCACCTCCATATTTCTGAATAAAAAACCGACAATCTAATATGAACACTGAAGTTATTGTATGGTACCGGAATATATCAATTTTTACCGGTATTAACTTAAATTTTAGTGATTTAAATCACAATCTCTAATTTGATGTTTCATTTCTAACTTTCTACTTTGGTCATTGGACAGACATCAAGTCAAAATTGTGAATGCCAAAATATCAAACATTTTAAAAATAGAACATATGGATGACCAGCGTACATTTTAATATCTGTCAACCAAATTAGCACCAGGATAGATTGATAAATTCCTCGAACCAGTGGTGGTAGTAAGTCATACCAGAAAGAATTATTTCAATTGGTCACTCTGTGACTGAGCTATTATTAGGCCAACTTATGGGCCTTGAGATGGCATTGGGACTGATTAATGTGATTGTCATGATAAATTTGAATGCAACAATAATCGTGACCGGTATGAATCTATAGGATTTCTGATGACTTAAAAAGTCTTCTATGAAGAAAGATAAGACTATAACATAAGCGTGGTGTTCTAACAGAGAGTTAGTATGCACTAAAGTACAGACAGGGCAGATACCCACAAATATGTATTCCTGATAATATTAAGGTACAGGTTAACTTCCAGCTGAGATAACCATGTGGTTTCCTGCAACAAATCACAAACTGACTGTATACAAGTTCGTTACAGCGTACTGGCTAACAGGTACCACAGCAATAGAAGTTATTAGTAGTTCTCAACCCCACAATAATTAACAATACTACTGTGTTACCATCTTTACTGGCGTGTGGTGATTTTAAGGGAGTGTGCAAGTACAAGTACGATTAACTATGAGATTTGCTGCAAGTCTAATAAACCGACAAACAAAGACCACAACTTCTCCTTAATTGCATATCACCCTTGTTAAAACGGAGTTAATTTTAAGAAGGTAAATTTTGTGACCACGATTTCTGATCAAGAGGGAAGTATGTTACGTGGTAATTTGAGCTAACGAGAATATTATCAGTTATTGCCGCCGACTCAGTAGATTTACCTTTTACTTTAGTCTTGTGTATGTTATTTTAAATTTTAAGCTCGAAATTATCATAATTTAGATGGTCGTAGTTCATATTGATGCAGTACAGCAATTCGTTGTCCATGATTATAATTAATATCAAAGATTTCGTTGCTGTAATAGTTTTAGAGATCATTTAATCATGCGCAAATCCTAAATAGTCATGCGCATGTTATATAAAATTGTTGTAAGTTTCGAACTCAGTAAAAATATCCATATTGCGAAAGATTCCTTGATTGTCATCGACTCCGACAGATCCATGATCATGGCACTCCTTTACAAAGTAACAAATTATGAGTTTAGACGTCTCACAAATTTAACATTTTGTTGTTAATACTAAACAGTATAAATTATTCAATCTATAGACTTAAATAATTTATAAAATATATGTTTAACGTGTCAGGAATCATGGACCAGTGCCGGAACAAGAGACCTTAGTATCATATTCTCTAACTTTACTGTTAAACTATTTCTATACAACTAGCCAAAAAGAATAATCTGAGAGGCACCCGAAATCACGCAATTTCCACGCGTTACTCCCAACTCCTAACTTTCACGCGTTACTCTCAACTCCTAACTTCCTAATAAGACTGTGACTCCATTACTTAAAAGATCTGACTAGCTATCCATATCAGTCCAGTAATATTTATTAGATCGATATCTCAACCGAGTCACTATGTTACGTTTTATCCTCTCTGTCTTATTGGTATTTATTGCCTGTCCAGTGTTTACTACCGCAACCAGCGACACCAAGAGCGATACAGCCCTTAAGTTTGCTTATGATACCGGTAGTTACATATCTTACAGTCCCAACTTTAACTCACTGACAGAAAAGCTTTCTGTTTGTGCGCGGATCCGCAAGTTCCAATCTGGAAATTCTCCTGTAGCATTTGCGTATAATGGTTGGGACATAGGGTTGGGAGACAGTGGGTTCTACAACTTTATGTTCGGTTCCTATATTACCCTGGCCAGCAAATTCCCCACTGACAATACTTGGTATCTGTACTGCTCAACCTGGAGCCTAGCTTCTAGAACCTTCCGAGTGTACGTGAACGGGCAACAAGTAGGGCCCAGACAACACCCTCCGGGAGAAGGCTGCAGACAGGCGGAGCATTAACCTTTGGGAATCATTCACCAAATCAGGGCACGCACTATTTCGGAGGCATGCTTCATAATTTTAATATGTACTGTAAAGAACTGACGGCTACAGAAGTAGCTGCCCTGTCTTCAGCTGGATTTTGTGCAGAGATTCCTGAGCAGTTGGAGGAGTACCGGGTAATAAAGTGGGAAGATATTCTCAAACTGAGCAGATCTGGTACCGTGTTGGACGGTAGGAGCTGGAATTGGCCGTGGCAGAAAAGAATTCTCTGGAACTATCCTTGAACAAAACGATGACAGATCTACTCAAAGTTCAAGAACGCTTCAACTCTACTCAGGAGGAACTAGTTGGGGTACAAGAACGCTTCAACTCTACCCAGGAGGAGCTAGTAGCAACAGAAGGGGAGTTGAATGAAACGAGGACCGACCTTCAAGAAACAAAGATGGAACTGAGGAATCTCACGGAGTCTAAATGTGCGCTAAAGAAAGGAAATTTGACAAAGTGGGATATGTTCTATTCGCCCGAGTACTATAATAAAACCTTCACTCGCACTCTCTACCAACAACTCACCTCGACATGGGATTCAATTAGCAGTAAGATGCAATTAATATTTACATAAATTAGTCAACGTTTTTTCATATTTTGTTGCATTTGAAATGAAATTCTATTTAAATTTGTTTTGCATGCTTGATACTAATAAACCATTAGCATACATATTTGTCCATTTCGTTTGATAAAACCTTATTATTACAGTTTACGATTACAAAACTACAATTAGTAGCACAATTAGTAATTAAAATTTACAACCACACGACATATGTATGTTCGATATCATAAACTTCTTGCAATTTCATGAACTCGATCAAAATATCAACATATTTTAAAGATATTGATACCAGATCGACAGTACTGTTTGTAAACGCGAGTTCTAACTTCTCCTCTTATTCAGATCGACTGTTTGGAATGACGATTACTGACAAGGTAATCGAGCTGATAAAAGATCTGGATGACGATCAGATCGATCACTGCGGAGAATTATCATAAAGCCTAATTGCTACCAAGATTATGTAAGTTACTTACCACACTTACAAATTAAATATTTTTTTCATTTTCCAATGTCAAATCAAGCAGATTCAGTAGCTATTTTAAATTGAAATGTGTCGTTGACTTTTGTAACATATTTTCAAATCAGGTGCTACCGGAGAGAGGATGCACCATGCTGACGCGTCACGAGAATGACAGCTGTATATTGACGCTGATATTTTTGGACGATGTTTACCCTTGAGAACAAGACGAATCGTAAACATCCCGACTTTCCAAAGCTGATCACGATCTACTTCAACAATAAAGATAGTTATACGGATACCTTTAAGTTATGGACATGAATTTCAAATAAACTGGAAGCACACTGGACTCACTTAAAATTATCAATCTTAATTTTAAACAGTAAAACTTGGTTGTTGATACCAAGTATAATTTGAAACATTTGATACTATCTAGTACAGTATGAGTATCTAAGAAGTAGTATGTAGTAATTTTTGATAGACAATGATCATTATATAAAGGACGTGAGGAAATTATACGTTCATTTGTTCTCAGTTCACCTCACTTTTCTGAATAAAAAACAGTTTTATATTGCATTACTACAACAAAGAATAAGAATTAAAAGTTTACCTTTTACCAAGGATTTCAAAATGGATTTCAAGGATTTCAAAATAAAATGATCATTACAATAAACATTGTGTCGGATCTAAATTTTAAAAAATAAAGATAAAATGAAAGTCAAAAACGAAAAAACCGAAACCTGTCCTGAATAATGCACGGTTGACGGTTATAGTCTAAAGAGTTTAAAAACCGAGCTATTCTAAAAAGGAATGTTCATGACGCGAACAACCAGTCCTTTGTGTCCATGCCTAAGATCCACACATAAATTCCACACTAAATCAAAAGTGTGAAACGCACACGAAAAATAACACACTGTCGGATCCACGTTGCGCATGTTGAGTCCGTGAGTCATGTTGTAGGTCCTTCCTTTTCTTTTCTGTCACTCGGGGGGAACCTCCGCTTGTTCACTTTACTCAAGAATCTGGCAGTTTCTCTGATCAATAGGATATCCTTGAAGAGGTCGGCAAAGGTCTCCGCTCCAGAGGTGATCATGGTTCTCGCCTGCTGACCTATGTTTCGCCTCAGGTCGTCGTAAAGCGAACAATCCGTGAGAACGTGTTTCTCATCTTCAATGATCGGCTCAAACATTGGTAGTTCGGCCAGTATACCGACAGCTTCAAGGTCTGATGAAGAACAGTGCTTACAAATGCGACTGAGCGGATTTTCACGGTTGATGGCGTATCTACCGGTCTCGATGTTGAACTTATGAGCACTCATTCTGAACTGCGCCAGCCGCTTCACCTCTTCTCCACTGAGCTGCAGGTTCAGGTACGCTTCAGCTGTAAATTCACTTTTGATAGTGTTGTAGAAACTGAGCTTCCGGTTGTTTTGCCGCTCATCGTTCCAACAGTTAATAAA